TATCTTTTTTCTGTTACTGTTTCTTAAAAATCTTCAGGTTTTGGATCAAAGTCATCAAACTGAGCTCAGGAAGTGTTTTTGGAATTTTATGGGACATTTATTCAAACCTAAATCCTGACACAAAGGGAAAGGAGAAAAAGCTTCTGTTCACCTCCTCGCCCGCCCCCCACACAGGGGTGGCGCCCTATAAATGCAGTGCTTATAATTGCACTAAGGACATATCTCAACCTGAGGTGTGCAGCAAAGTGGAAAGCTGACCTTTGTTCATTAGTCATCAAAGACAGATACCACAGTGTCAGAGCTGGTTATGCATTTGCTAAAGTGGTTTCGGAGGGAAAAGGAGCGATGTAATTACGGCATATCATAGATCCTAACAGCTGTTTCGCTCACTCTTAAGCTCAGGGACGCTATCACACTCTCTGCTTACTGTTGTCATTAGAATAATGAAAAATAATCAATTAGGGTTAATTAATTCCTTTGTGACACACAACCGGCTGCAAGCAAATCTAGTAAAGGGCTACCGGTGGCCTCGCCATACGCTGATTAACATCATTTCAGCCACACCTTACGTTCACGGGATTATCTCTTTTATTAAGTAATTACGCAGCAGATTTCCTGCACATGTTGTGAGACAAATAAAGCGTCACACAAACGCTCTGCTGCTCTTTCCCAGCTACCTGATGGACAGATGTGAAGAGGAGCAGCGCGGTGGCATAATTAAAAACTGAACCGCAGGATATTTCGCCATCTGACACAAGCCCCAGCGGCCCACCGCCGCCACAGCCACAACACCGGGGGGAATTGGACCAATCAGAGGCACTCGGGGTATTGTCCCCATATGGCCGTCTCCGTAAACGTCCAACTGGACTTTATAATCTGTACGTTCCCAACCTTAAGCTCGAACCGTGTCGTGTCAAGCTGTTTTGGGAGGCTTATGACGACGGATCAGCGGCAGATAGCGTATTTGAAAGTTTAAAACTTCATCTGCGGAGAAACTGTTTGCACAAGAACAAAACAAATAAAAAATCAACTGAAAGAGAACAAAGACGACAAAAGTTCTGCAAGAACAAGAAATAATTAGAGATTAATAACATATTAAGGACCAAATGAGTCGCAAATGTGTCCAAAAGTGCATCCAATTCAGCAGCGAATAGTTTGTAATTTGGATAAACTGGCAATGTAATTTAAAACGGCATCTCCAATCCCGAATCCTTTGATTTGAACTAAAGGCGATGCCATTCGAGTTTAATTTCCAAACAAATCATAAACAAAGAAATTACCACTCCACAGCTTGTATGACCTCTCTCCTGGCATCGGTCCACGCGGGAGAGAGAAGGGGAGAGAGGGATTGTGGGAAAGAGGTTGGGCATGTGTCTCTGTGCATGTGTATGTGTGTGTCGAGCGTGTGTGTGCGGCCTCATCCCGACTGCTGAAACCTGGCAGACTGGGGGTTTAAATATTAACAAGCCACACATGGCCCTCCTCTTCTGCCGCGTCCCTCGATGGAAGGCAACAGCAGCTCTCTCCACCAAGACAAACACGTCCACCGCCAGACATGCTGCAGGGGGTTTACATTTTAATGCCTTTGTTGGTTTTCCAAAATATGCTTCCATCTCATCCTGGATGGGATCCCTTCAGGTCCACAAAGCCAGGTGACGTCTATCATTTAAGGGCCGGTGCGGGCGAGCGGCAACAGAGGTCCGCCGCGAGGGTCGGCGGGGTGGAGGGTAAATTTGCCTTCATCAGATCTCAATAGAAAAAGGCAGAGACACAGAAAAAAGAGGCTGCGCACACCATCTGTAGCCCCTCTCTCATAGCCTCAAACGATAATCTGTTGTGGATTTTTGTAAACGGTTGAGCGGGGGAGACTTTATTTCCAAAGGGGGTGAGGCCACAGCGAGGTTTTTAAAACAGTACTCTTTTTTTTTTAAACAACTAAACCAAAGTTTCGACTCTGGACAAAAAAGCAAAAATATTTTCTAGTCATAAGTTATTGAAAAGGAAACAATAACAGAGAACTCCCACTTTAAGAGCAGATTTCAGATGAATTAATTAAACGCAG